CCCCCACCAGGTTTCCGCCCACGGTTTACCCACCCAGTGCTGCGCAAACAGGACCACCCACATGTGAGGTTGGTCCCCTCCCTCCTCCCATTGAGCGTATTTACCAAAGTTGTAACTCAGGAAGGTGGTGAACATCCTCAGACGGAGAGCTGGGAGGTCCAAACCCGCCTGGTCTATCTGTCTATAGGCCACCGCCTTCGCCAGAGGGAAGGTGGCCATTCCCCAGAGGAATTTGAAGAGCTCCTTCTCCAGTTCCTTCATCACGGCTCCCGGAGGGGGGTAGACCACCGCTATGTTATGCGCTACCGGCAACACGTACGTGCGTACGTAAACCGCCTTTTGATACACAGTCAGTTGCCACTTCCTCCACATCCCAATTTTTCCTTAAACTTTTGAAGCCAAGCGAACCAGTTCCTCTTCCACCCTTCCTTGGCTATGGAATAGTAAATCCCCAGAATCTTCACCTCCTCTACCTTCTGCTCATTCCTACCCTCTCCCTCTTGGTCTGTTTCCATGGGAGCTATCTTAAGCTGCTCGTCCTCGGGGTCAAAAGAAATAAGGCAACTTTTCTTCCTGTTTATCTGAGAACCCGAGGCACGTGCGTACGTATCAAAGATCCGCTGCACTCTCCTGACCTCTCTGTCGTCATTCAGGAGCAGCGAGATGTCATCGGCATGGGCCACGAACTTGATCCGTATGGGAGCACCGGTAGGAATCCCCGCTATCCCCGCTGAACGGATCCCCGCTATCCCCTCCTCGAGCTGTATGCGGCACAGGACAGCGTCCAGAGCCAATACGTAGAGGAGTGGGCTCAACGGACACCCCTGCCTTACTCCTGATTGTAAATCGATGCGACTTCCCCTGTGTCCATTGATCTGGGGGGTGACAGTGGCTTTGGCATACAGCAGTTTGAGGAACCCAACATAGGAGGGCGGGAGGCCCTTCCATCGGAGAACCCTCCACAAGAAGGAGTGGTGGACGTTATCGAATGCCTTGCTCTGATCTAACAGGAGAATCCGTCCTGCCCATTTCCTGTCCCGCACCAACTGGAAGATCTCTCGCATTAGACAGAGGGAGTCTGTCATAGCTCTCCCCGGCACTGCACTGGTCTGGCACCCCACGACCAATTTGTGCGCCACGCTAGCCAGTCTCCTGTTCAGTATCTTCGCTAGGAGGCGATAATCCATGTTTGTCAATGCTATGGGCCTCCAATTAGCCGGCAGCGTCAGGTCCCCTTTCTTAGGGAAGAAAATCAGAGTGCCCTGATAAAAGGATTCGGTGAGTCGTTCTCGGGCCAGTAATGAGTTAAACACTTTTGTCAGAGGGGGGACGAGCCATTCCCGAAATATCCTATAAAATTCATATCCCAGCCCATCTGCTCCCGGGGCGGAATTTCCTTTCGCCGTCAAGATGGCTCGCCTCACCTCTTCTTCTTCAATAGGTGCCTCTAACATCTGACTCTCCGCTTCTGTCAGTTTCCCATACAGAGAGCCTGCTTTCTCTCTGGGAATGTCCTCCAAGAAGCATTCCACCTCGCGGGAGTCAATGCCCTTAGGAGCGAAAAGCTGCTGGTAATACCGCCCCATGATAGACAACATCTCCTGCGGGTGGAAGGCGACCGCGTCTCCTTCCTTCTCTCGCAGACCTTTCATCTCTATGGGTGTCTTTGGACTGCGAGCCTTCGCCCACTCCTCTACGTCAACAGCGGAGCCCTTCACTCTATAATCTCTATAGTTTAGCTGGTTCCTCCTTTGGGTGTAGTGGAATTCCGCGATGACTTTCCTAGACTGGACCAAAACCCCTTCGTCGTATGGTTGTCCCTGATTCATTCTGCTGTGGCACTGTAAGAAGTGAAAGACGGCCTCCTGGTAGTGCTGGAGTCCTCGCCTATTCACCTTAAACTCATACTTGCGACAGCTGTTCCTAATCACCCTCTTGGTCCTTCCCACCATTCCAGTAACTCATCGAAATAGATGTCACGCAGGGTCAACATATTGGCCAAAACGTTAGCCATGTTGTCCCTGCAAGACGCGTCCAGCATCTTGGGTCTGAGTCTCCACAGGGGTCTGCCCCTAGGGTAGACCTGCCCAAAGCTCAGCTCGACAGCCAGAATGGTGTGATCTGACCACGGGGTGACGACGATGTTGCATTTCTCTGTCTTGACCTCCTTTGGGGCTCTGAGCCAGTCTAACCTGCTTGCTGTTTTCCCCAAATAGTAAGTGAACCTCACCCCATCTGTAGTGGGAAAACTATCTAGGAACGCCTTCCTGCAAGGCACGGGGAAGAAGTTCAACGAGTTAGGCACCTCCAAGGCTTTATCCCAGAGTCCTTGACTCATCAGGAATTTTTCTAGGTCCCTTTCCTCTGCACTCAGGGCCAGTGCTCTGCTCTGAGCGGGAGAGCTGACCGCACGAATCCTGTCAGATAATTTAGTCCTATTGTTGAAGTCTCCCGCTATATACACGCACTAGGGGGCTAGTGAGAGTTTTGTCCTTGGCTGCAGAGTCTGGCACAGAGACAGTTCATCACAGGGGAAAGAAAAGGTGCGTATGAATGCCCAGCCATGTCATGTCTTCCCTCAGCCCCACTGTGTCAGGTGCAACATTAATCTTGACCTGGGTTATGTATCTCTACAGACTCCAGGCTAATCCAAGAGCTTAAGGAGCCAGAAGGTGAGATGGTGGCAACCCCTATGTGAGAGCAAGTTGTAGTCTTGTGTAAAGCAGAAGGTGCCTGGGTCAAAGAAACGATGCAGCAGCTGCTAGCAATGTTGGAAGCACAAGCACGTGATCAGACCATTGGTCCATCCAGCCCAGCATTGTCAGTGCTCACTAGCAACTCCTCTCCAGGGTTTGGGGCAGGATTATTTCCTAGGCCAAACTGGAAAAGTTGGGGGTTGAGCCTGAGACCTTCTGCATGCAAAGCATGCATTCTACCACTGAGTCACACCCACTACGTACCTTGTTTTTATTCAAAAAATAATTTGCAGACACCCAGATGGGCTATGACCCCTCCCATGACCTTGTTAACAAGAAGCTTGAACTGCTTGAAAGCTTTTCTGCATCAGTTTGTTGACGACTGCGCCTACAATCAATTTTGTTGCCCTGAGATCTGAGCTTGTTTTTCTTCCCTGCTTTTCCACTACCTAACCTCTAGGTGGCATTGTACTAGAGCAGAATATCACTACAACCCAAGTAGGCAAATACTTTTTTTTTGCTTTCAGAAATTATACTCCGTCTTCCCTGCCCTAAAGACCTTTCTACAAGAGGCTTTTAATGTGTCATTTTACAAAGGTTTCTCCTTCCAGATTCTTCACAAACTTAAAATGTGCTTTTTTAAACCTGTATTTCCAGGGACGTTCTGTCTACTTGTTTCCTGGCATTGTACGGGTTTCATCCCACCATTCATCAGAGTTTCTTTGAACTAAAAGAAGCAGGGGAAATGTCAGAAAATGCCCTGGAGGATGACAACATGGTGTGGACACCTGCCTAAGAAACCAGGAGTACACAATAAGCGCCTTGTGTAGAGAGCCTCTAAAAGCCCGAGAAACTGCTCTGAAAAGAACGGAAACTACACTGCAGGTTCACAATCTTGCCCAAATAACAACCAGGAGTAAGGAATTACAAGCCCACAGAAATTCCTCAGGCAGAAAGGTGGTGCAGGTGGGAGGCGGCCCCTACGTTTCTTGATTGTCCCCTTTGTTACATTCTTTAGAAATGGGCGATTTGTCGAAAATGTAGGGCAAACAGGGGCAGGCTTGTAGCGTCCATGAAGAACCCACCCATACAGACCTCATTACTCCTGTAATTAGAACACTGCCTAGGAGTAAGCGCTGTTTAATTGAAGCCAACGGACCCGCCCCCGCTCCCCTGCAGTCATGGCAAAGAGCAGGCTGCACAATTGCAGCTCTGGCGGGAAGCGCCAGACCCCCCCGCCCCCACTGGGTCTTACTGTCCAACAAACCTGCGCAGGATCACGCTCCGGGGCCGCTCGGCAGGGAGTAAAGTCTTTACGTAGCAGTGAGACTTGCTCCCGAGTAAGCCCACACACGGGGACTCGGGTGGCACTGCTTCAGTCCTTTCTGTGCGCTTACTCACCGCGAGAAGTCGTGCCCAGAGTAGCACCCGAGCGGGGAAGAGGTGGGGAAGAATTAGGACAGGATGCCAACCCTCCCCCCCGCCCCCCTCCCCGGATCAAGGCAAGCAGGGCCATCTGCGTCTTCCTGGGCAACGTGCAATCGCGACGGCGTCCAGATCCCTCCCTTATAAAGACCACCGTGCCCCAAGCCGAGCCCTGTTCGTCTCTGGCCGGCAGACAAAACACGCGACGTCAGTTCGCCGGTGAAGGACGTCACGGCGTTGCTCATAGCCACGCCATAGCCACGCTCCGACTCAAATCCGCCAACAGGCCGGGCGCCCCCGGCTTCTTGCTTCGCTTGCTGCGTTCCCTTCTCAAAATTCAAGCCGGGGGGGGGGGAGGGAAGGAGAGGAGGGATCCCCCTTCTTAAAAGCTGTTTCCGGTTCTGCTGCCATATTCCCTTTTTTTCCTCCGAGGGGAGAGTAACTCTTGCAAATGAGCTAGAACAAGGCAGCCAGGGTGGCGGTGGCGCTAGCAAAGGAGAGAAAGGGAATGCAAGACCCGTGGTATCGAGAGACAGAGCCTGATGCCACGGCGACGGGCCCAGAAGGAGAGGGCGATGGAAGGGCTTAGGATTCCGCTTTGGAGTCCCCCGTGGTTGCTGGCCTGGATGCCCCAAGCGTCGAAGAGGCACTGAAAGATCTCTTTGGCTTGGGGGGGGGGGGTGAGGGGGAGAAAGGAGACTGTTTGAGCTGCAGGCGGGCGTGGACTTCGGCCTCTGCTCTGCTTCTGACATCACTTCTCGAAATCGCTCCAAGTTACAATCAGTCTCTCCAGCCATTTGCTGATTCTCTTGCCTTCACGCCGAGAAAGGGGGCTGGGGCAGCAAAATCGAGAGAGCGGGGTGAGGTACACCCCTCACCCAGTCTGGGGGGGTGGAGAGAGAGAGAGAGACGCGCCCTCCTCCCTCGCTCATTCACTGGCGCCCTCCACACAAAGCGAGCGCCCTGGTTCCGCGCTCAGCCCACCCACCCCCTCCGCCCCTTCGGTTATTTCCAAGCAGCGGGCAAGAAAAGCTCCCAATGAACCAGCTGGCGGGCTGCTCCGTCCTGGACGCTTCGTCTTTCGCGTTTGCAATTGTTTCCTCACACCAGAGCCGCTGATTCATTTTATTATCCTGACTGCGAGTCGCGCTGAAGATCTGCTCTGTTTCCGCGCTTGGGAGAAGGCAGGCAGACGGAGGGCGAAGGGAAGCAGGCAGCGGCGTCTCCATCTGGCTGTGCGTTCCCTGCCTCTCGGAGACTTGAAGGGGGGCAAATACAAGGTAAGCGATGCCCGGGGGCATGCTGCTGGGGGGGGGGGAGGTGTGGTACGGTCAGAGGGAGGCAGCAGATGATGATGGGTTGGCTAATATTCCGCTCGCCTGTGACTGCCTGGTATTAGCCAGCCCTTCGCGGCAACTGACTAAGCGAGCTTTGTTAATATCGTGCTCTTGGAGACGGAAGGCAGATCGGACGCGCAACTCGCGGCAGCCCGGCGTCTCCTGCTCCGCTTTTCTTTAAAGCAGAACAAAACGAAACGAAGCGGGCTGCTTGCGAGTGGCACAGACTGGCGAAATCTCAGCGGGTGTTAAAACAAACAAAAGGTATTGCTTTAAATAAAGTGTTGTTGGTGCTGTTATTGCAATGATTCGTGCTAGGTTTGGGCTTTGCTTTGGGGGTGGCTGGCTGAAAGGATGAAGCCGTCGCTCTGGACCCGGCTGTGCGCGACTTGGTTCCGAACCACTTTCTTTTGTTGTGGTTCCGCGCCTGGTTCACCGGTCATGATGCGATGCGCACTGTATAATTCACGTCTCTCCCGCCCGCGTAGTACATTTTTAATCAAATTGCTTGGGAAGAAGAAAGCAGGGCAGAAGGGGGGAGGGGGCAATCTGGTAGCTATATCTAGGCCAAAATATGAAATATTAATAGCCGCTTCAATGGTTTTTCCAATCCGGCTCCTCCTTTACTATTGGTTAAAATATTCATTTTCAATGGGGCTTTAGAGGTCGAGGCGGAGCGCGCGGGGGGGGGATCCCTGTGTTTATGTTGTGGTCGTGTCCTGGGCACGCCTACTTCTCTGCTCCCCCTCGCCTCCTCTCTCTCCCCCCCCCCACCCCGGTCATGCCTTGAGCGGGGATAGAATTTAATCTTGCTGAAAACTGGGAAGCTGTTTAATAAAGTAATAAATGGGGCGATCACAGCCTTGTAACTTTTCCTGCTTTGTGTTTGAAGCCAGTGGCTGTAATGCAATTTAATCCACTGCTCGTGGTCACAGAGAGACAACTTCTGTTGTTCTCAAACCAGACTGGGCAGTCTTTCCAAAGACCTTTAGGGGAGGAGGGCAAATGGTATTGGGCTGCATGTGTGATTCGGAGAAATGACAAGAATCCGATCTAGGAGTGTAATTAACCCTTGAATAGATTCCAGATGAAAAGGCAGCCTGGCGTGTTCAGTCCGCTGGGAACACTATTTTCTCCCCTCCACAAATTCTCACTATCCTTGAGGTGCTGTTTCCCAGAATACTGAATCCTTGTGTTGGGAACTGGATCTAGACCAATGAATGGAACTTAAGTTAATCCTGATCCAGACATAGTCATGTTTAGCACAGATCCATCAAGCTAACTGAAGTCCCATTGATTTCAATGGGTCTACTCTATATGACTCTCTTAATCCAACCTTGTGTCTGTTACAACGTGTCTATTGTTCTGTAACTGTGTGTCTAGCTAAGATCTTCCAGTTTGTTCCACTGAAGGATACTTCCTGCTCCCTCAAACACAAGCTTGCCTTTGGGGTAAAAAGTTTAAATAAGATGTCTCTCAAATGTATGAGCACGGCAGTGGTAAAAATTGGGCAAAGGCATAATGTAGGAACTTCCTTTCATAGAAGTCTGAAGCCAAACTGATTCCTCTAATGTATATTTCTCTCCTTGCTCTGTGCAAGTGACAAAATTAACCCCACTCTGCCACCAGAGAGGTTGGAGTAGCAGCCTGTCTTCACAGTAGCTTTCCCGTACCTGGTGTCTTCCAGAGGTGTTGGACTGAAGCTCCCATCATTCCCAGCCAGCGTGATCAGGATTGCAAAGTGGGGTATTTGCCAGCATCCCAAGACTCTAGTAGAGAGCTCACAGCCTTAATGATTGTACCATTTTGCTTTGCCTGGGAGTATTTGAGAAGTCAGATGTCCTGTAAGGAATTTCTTAGTTTGCATGTGTGCCTTGTGCAAGCTAGGGAGACCACAATAGGTCAGCCATGACCCAAAGGCTCCAAGATCCTGGAGCCAGCCTGGAGTGATTATTAGATGGATTGAGAAGTCTATCATGTCTTGACTAATATGGATAGGCTGTACATGGAAAGGGAGGGCAATAGCTTGGGGGTAGACCACAAGCTCTGCATGTAGAAGGTCCATGGTTTAATCTCTGGCATCTTTGAATAAGGCTAGAAGGATATTGACTGAACCCCTTGAAAGCCACTGCTGATTCCCTCAAAGGCAGCTTTTCCATATATCTAATTTGCTTGCCTATGAAATATGCCTTGGTGAACTCCCTTAAAGTTTCTGTGCTAAAAAGCATAGGCCTAAATAATCCCATTATGAAGTGCACGATTCTGTAGCAGCTTTGGCTAGCTGCACTGTGGGTTTACCTGGACACTTGAAAGCAAGTGAAAATTACTCATAATGAAGCCTCTCTTCCAGTTGTAACTAGTCAAGGAGTGGCCAGTGTTGCTGCTGACTTTCAACTAAGCTAGCTATTTCGAAGCTCATTTCTAAGGTGGGGGTAATGGAAAGTGCCATTCTGTCACAAGATAATAGTATAGCAAAGCTACGGACCTGCAGAGCTGAGCTCTGAAAATAAGATTCTCCCATTCTCTACTCAGAACGTTAAAGACCCCAGAAGGTTAATAGTTAAGAGCAATTGCCCTCTCCTGCTGTTGTTGGCCAGAAATTAGTGTCCCAAGTCATACTGATCAGTAGCCATTGATAACCTTCCCCTCCATGGTTGCTGGAACTCCCACTATTTGACCTTCAGCCAGAGGTATTTCTGGAAGCACTTGCATGTAAATGTACATGTCCAACACTCTGAAACCACCAGAATCAATGCCACAAACACAATTTTGAGTAACAATGGTTTTGAATGCTGTGGATCATTGCAGACTGCTCAGATGAGCATTGGAGATATTGCTGCTATCCTAATAAACCAGCAGTAAGCTTAATTCTATAACATATACTGTCTGTCTCTTTAATGGAGTTTATGTTTGACAGCTACAGTGCAGGGAATGGGGTATATGGAAATATCCACTTCCACATCTGAGGAGTAGATCTGCTAGAGCCTACATTAGTTTATCTAGTCTAAGGCAAGTACTGAAATGATCAAATTCTCTTGGCTCAAAACATTTCTCCTTTCTAAAAGCTTTGGCTAATCTGTGCATTCAGAGGGCAACCCCTTCTGTTGTTTTATTGATTTTAAAGGAAAGAGCTTGCTTTGATAGTCTAAATCACATCTATAATTAGAACTAGACATGTATAGGAAAATCACTTCAGTTCATTTTTGTCCAGGATTTACTCAGTTCACACTTTCTGGACCAAATATTGATTTTGATACAATCTGTGGCAGAGGTCTGTACAATTTTGAGCTTGTGATGTGATTGCAAACCAAAAACAAATGCATTTGACAGTGTATGTACATTGGAAAAACATGCATGAAAAATGTGTATGTTTGAAAAACAAGTGTAAAGTGATAATTGGTGGGAGAAAATATATACAACGGATGCATATTTTTGGAAAAAAACTGCATTGATTGCCATGTGGGGAAAAAAAACTAAACTGAATGGACTCAAGTCAGAACAAGCTTATAGGTGGAATTCAGAGGACTTTGGGGACTCAGGATTTGCTGTTTCACACATTCCTAATTAGAACATATTACTAGTTGGCCTCTTTTCAGTCGGTCTAGAGATCAGTTCTTGCTCTTTTTGAGGGGGGCAAATGAGGACAGATATGTATCTGATACAAAATGAAACTGATTTACCAACAGGAAAGTGATTCACTCTTTCTGCTTTTTGTGCCTAGTATGTTGACTGTCAGCTGTCATCTTGACCAGTAAAAGCTGGCATGTAAATAAACTGCAGACAGTGGAAAGCAAACATAGCTATACGCTTCTGTTTCTATGCTTCACATCTAAACAAGGCTTTCCTATCTCCCCAGAAATATGTGAGCTCTATAGGCCAGGAGCTTGTTCTGATCTTTTTCAGTGGTGAAATGCTTATTCCCTTTCTGACATGCTAAAGCAGCTTAGGAAGTCATATGTTAATCAGTTGCACTTCCTGTTTCTCCAACTAATCATTCCAATCAAAATAGGTTTTATTTTGAGCATTCTGGATATCTGTTCTTCAATGTAAATCTTAGCTGCTGTTTAAAGGTGTGTTGTTTAAAGGTATGCATCATTTGTTTGATGCTATTTGTATCAAGACAAAACATCCAATGGAATATTCAGACCTTGGAAGGAACTGAAGTTCAAGTGATCATTGGAAAGTCACTTGTGACTTGCTCATAGGTAAAGCCTAGAAATTCCCTGTATCAAGTGATGACTCTGCAGTTGCCTAGAAATGCCCATTTAAAACACTGAATCATAGACCCTGATTCTGACTGTTGATTGTATCTTCTGCTGGATGGAAAGAAATCGTGCATACACACCCCACTGAGTGGATTTTAGCTACCAAAGATGTGTTATCTTGAGGGCATAAAATAACAATTCCTGGATGACAAAGGAAATGATCAGTTAAAGGCTTGCTGAGGAATGCTGGGAGCTGTGAGACTCCTGTCTGCTTGAACCTGCACAAACTTGCGCCATTACATGTACTTCTGTTGCCCTAGATCAGTCCGGTTTCTCTGCACACTAAAATGCAATCCACAGAGGGATTTTTCCAATCCCTAAGCTGACTCTGCAAGTGGTGTAGCAGCTGTTGAGACTGGTAGTTGCAATCAAACCACTGTTCTAATTATTGATTTATTCACAAGATGGATAGATTAATACCTCCAGTGGGATTTCTTTGGAGGAACTTGCCTCTTGCATTACTGGCTTGGTGCTATTGCCCTAACTGGAAGAACTCCAATGATTTTGTTGAGTCCACAGGTAGTTTTTCTCCCTTAAATGCCTGGGCCTCATGTTGCGCATCCTTATTTTGATCAGAAGGCAGCTTGCTCACCATTTCTCATGTTTTTCCCTCCCACCTTTACTCTGGTAGAAACTATTAATGAAGGAAAGGCACTGGAGAACATCTGAAGTTTCAGT